AAAAAAAAAAAAAAAAAAAAAAAATCGCAAGTTTTGATAGAATTTTTAATTTTTACAACTTTTAACATTTTTTATGTACTTGTAAAAGTTACTAGTTGTATTTTTAAGCTCTCTTGAGCTAGTCCAAGAGCATAATTTTTATTATTGTATTTAAACTAAAAGTTTTTTGCCCATTGATTATTAAAAAAACCTGTCACAGGATTTACCTATAATAAAATAGTTTGTGCCCAAAATTCAGGCGAAAAAAAATTGTATGAAAAAAGTAATAAAATTAGTTGGAATAAATATATTTTAACAAGTGTTTTAAAATCGATACCTTCAACTACAAACAATTAATAAATGTTTTAGTTCAGTAAAAAAAGTATGAAGGTCTTTGTATTAAAACTAATACTTGTTAATGAGACAATTATTATTAATCTCACAAAATTTTAATGAATTAATAACTACGTACATTCCTTTGTTAGCTGCAGGTTTACCAAGTCCATCGAAGGTATCATACAACTAATTTCTTCAGTTTTTTTTACCTATTATTTTAAACAGCGCTGTTGGGCTAAGCTCTCCAATTCCTATATATCCCCTCGTTTCTTTCAGGGTATAACAAGAGATAAATAAACTAGGAAATAAATTAAGATGTAGTTTGGACACGTACAAGAGGGACTTCTAGGCTAAATAAGCTGAAGCCAAATCATAAATAAATAAGCTCTAAATTTTATAACTCATTGGTACTTATTAACTGATGAAAAAACTATACAACTTTCCACTGAAAAGTAGTCATTGTATTAATTTATAAAAGCAAAAAGTTGTTTTTATGATTTTTAATATTATCATTATTTATTTGTTCATTTCTTTTTAAACAGCATCCGATCTTAAAAATAAAAATTATAAGTGAGTTATATAAAATAGCAATAATTGTGGGCACTTGTACGAATCAATCTCAAGAACAAAAAAACAAAAAAATATCTAATAATAAGTACTTAGAAGTTTAAATAATAACGTGTCACAAATAATTTCAGAACAATAAGTTTTATTAGTTGTCTCAAATCTAGACTTTGTAAACTGTTATTGTTTATTTCTATTTTTGACTTGTTGTTCAAAATAGTTATTACCAATTAATCGAATAAAATTATTTCTGCTTGGGTGTAGACAAATACGGAAGTCTAGTTTCTCACCTTGAAAATTATTCTTTTAAATTCATCGATTAATATCGTATTTTCAGATTTATTGTGAAATGCTTATTTGAAATGTTGTGGATTGTTTAACTGTCGAGTTTCAAGATTTGTTACCGATTTAAAAGATTGATAAACTTTTTAGTGATGATTTTTTGAAGCAAACTTACCTGAAAAAACTATTTAAAAAATTTTCAACTTAATTTGTTTGAACAATGGCAGCAAATAAAAATTGCGAATTTTGATCATAACAATTTAATTTCTAAAAATAGTTTTATTGTAATATACTTAGACTACTGCATGCAGTTCACTTACTAGCTGCATAACTTCTTTCTAATTTAATATAATATGTAGATTCCAAGCAGCTCATGTTATAGCTATAAACATATTCTATTGCATTTAATATTTTTTTTTACTCAAACTTTTTCGTACAGATGTGTATTTTTCATTGCAACAATCGTTCCTTATATGCAATGGCAAAGATTTTTGTACAAGTTACACGCAGGTGTTTTGAAGTAATTAATTTTTCCACTAAAACTTAGCCTATAAAATTAGATTTAAGTAAGCTGAACACGTAAATAAACTCCATAAAAATGCCCCAGAAAATCTCAAGCTTTTAATAGATGCATGTACAAAAAAATTTTTTTTTAAAGATTTATAATTTGTACGTATCATAAAGTAATAAAAAATCCATAAAAATAATTAAAGTTACTTTAAATTCTCTCTTAAGTTTTTTTTCTTTATTTAATAATAAATATTCAAGTGGTGTTATATTTATGTTGATTGTAATACAATTTCCATTTATTAAAATAAGTACTTTTTGTATTTGTTAACGCCAAAAACAACATTAAAAATGTACATAATGAAGCAGACTAAAAATATTTTATTGTTATACGTAGGTTGTAACCAAACCTTGGCAAATCAGTATACATCGTATCAACCACAAATGATTCCGCAACAATCAAACAGTTATCCATTGCAACAACGAATAACAAGCACTGACAGTGGTGAGCTCGTTTAAGTATATTTTACACTTTATAGATTCAAATTTTAATTGAAGGAATTTTAGATAATCAGTACCCTGGACCAAGAAATCAAAATTTTGCTCACTCTGAGGCACCATTAGTTGAAGCAACTCTTCAAAAACAGTATCCACAGGTTATTGTTCAACATAATGCTCCTGTAGCCGGCAGCGTTAATTTGCTTACTGCTTCTAAAACTGAAAATCGACTGGATGGGTTTAACAATGGTAATATTTTTTTTCTTTTTTTTTGTTGGATTAAGTATAAGATACTGTTTTTTTATAAAATTACTCAACTCACATTATTTTATAATACTTTAACTTTTATAGAGCGACTAAGTGATTAACACGATTTGAGAGATGGATTCAATTTTTGTAAACGATTTCCAAAATTATTTGAGAGCTCTACGAAAATCAGGATGTGCTAATACAAATAAAGTTTTTAAAACATTAGTTTTCTCCTACTTTTGATGAATGAGACACATTTTTTTGCTTTCAATTCCAATTTCAAAAATTCTGTATTGAAATGTTGAAGAAAGAATTGAATTCTAATAAAGTATTCAGAAATTATGTAAAAACAACAAGTTAAAATATTTAGAGATACGAAAAGATGTTTGGATGTTACTTTGGAATTCGATTTTTATAAAATCGATTTAAGATCATTGGAGATTTTTTTTCTTTTTATAAATTTTGTTATTGTGATTAATAGTTTTGGAAATAACTCAAGAATTGAGAAATGAAAAAAAAAAAAAAAAAATATTGACCGTGAAGTGGATTTGAACCCTTAA